TTGGAGAAGGCTTGCTTCCCAAGCATAAGACATTTCTTCAACTAATTTGATATCACCAGTACAAAGAGAAACCTCTTTTCTTGGCTATGGCAGTGGGGAGAATAGCTTTCAATGTGCTTCAAGGCACTAAGTGTTTGAAAAACACCCTTCTCTCTTTTATCTACCCTGACACTGTCTGTACCATCACTCAATAAACAGAGAGTCCACACAGACTAAGGAACATGGAGCTGGGGTTGGTGATCGCCATTCTAATCCTTGTTTAGCTACAGCATTTCAATAATGCTGAATGCTTCCAATAAAGATATGCTTACACTTCTGCTGTTTAAATTTTGAACATTAAGGCTAGAATACTTAGTTTTCTTTTCTTTTTTTTTTTTGAGACGGAGTTTCGCTCTTGTTACCCAGGCTGGAGTGCAGTGGCGCCATCTCAGCTCACTGCAACCTCTGCCTCCCGAGTTCAAGCCATTCTCCTGCCTCAGCCTCCCAAGTAATTGGGATTGCAGGCAAACATCACCATGCCCAGCTAATTTTTGCATTTTTAGTAAAGGCAGGGTTCCACTATGTTGGCCAGGCTGGCCTCAAACTCCTGACCTCAAGTCATCCACCCACCTTAACCTCCCAAAGTGCTGGAATTACAGGTGTGAGCCACCGCATGTGGCCCAAATACTTAGTAGTTCTTTTTTTTTTTTTTTAAACACAGTTTATGGATAAAGTCACATGAAAAGGATTTTAGCTCTCTAGCATATAACAGAAAAATGGCTTAATTTAGTATCAGAGCTCAAAGATACCATTTTGTAGAAATGTAACTTCTAATTACACAACATTTTACAACATTATGAACTGTTTTAAAACTTTACTAAAAGGTTACAACAGGCTATGAACTATATATCTGAGGCCAAATCTTATGAGGTTCTCAAAGGCTCTTTTATAGATCATTTAGAAAGATTAAAGAAACCCACCCTACCCATGACAGCCCCTGCTTAATCGAAGGTCCCATTAAACATGAAAGAGACCCTTATTTTCTGCTTTCCAACTATGGATTTCTGTCTCTCCACAAATTGTATCATTGGCAATTTAACTTTTAAAACTTGCTTTCATATTTATCATCTCATTTTATCTGTGAATGCTGTTAGGGGCGTATGTAAAATAGAAATAACAGCTCCATTGTTCCTTTGACTACAGTTCACAGTCGAGATCTTACCTCTTTCTTGAAAATGTCAAGTGCATAAAAGTAAATGACTAGGAGCAGAGTATGGAAGAGCCACGGCTGGGAGGGCACAGGGGTGGAGAGAGAAGGGTCTGGGGAAGAACGACGAACAACAGGAATGAGAACCACCATGTTTTGGGGTTAGACGTTCAGAAAGCATCAGGAATTCATTTCTGAATTCTTAAATGGCAGGGGAAAGGAAAAAAATACCTGAATTATGTGAGGTTATTTTACTACAATGTCTCCACATGTAGGAAAGAAGGGCACATCATCCTCTTTACATGTGTAACCAACATCTGGGAATCCTGTTGCTCAACTGGGTTAGGAGGATCTCTTCTCAGAAATAAGCTGCTCTGAAATTTGGGACTGTGTTGAAATGTCAAATCATCCGTCCCGTTCATGTGTTTTAACTCAGTGTATATATATCGATGATCTTAAAAAATGTTGCTGTTCACAAGTCCTAAAAATGAAATCTAAACTTGAGTGGTGAAGATTATAGAGTTATATGGCATGCAGATAAAATGTACTGCTAATAGGGGTGATCAAGCTGAGAGGAGATTCAATAAAGCAGAGTGTTCAAAGTCAGAAATCACACTACTGTAGAAATCACAAGTGACTTCAATTAGACTAATTTCTTTTCCCCAAGAAACTATTTTTGCTTGGAAGGAACTAGCCAAGGCTGGGCGCTGTGGCTCACACTTGTAAGCCCACCATTTTGGGAGGCTGAGGCAAAGTGATCTCTTGAGGCCAGCAGTTTGAGACCAGCCTGGGCAATATATTGAGATCCTGTCTCTACAAAAATTTAAAAAAGAAAAAGAAAAAAAAAACCTTAGCACCTTGTGTTGGTGTGCACCTGTAATCCTAGACCCATGGGAGGCTGAGACGGGAGGATTGCTTGAGCCCAGGAGGTCAAGGCTGCAGTGAGCCATAATCATGCCACTGCACTCCAGCCTGGGTGATGGAGTTAGACCTGAATTCAAAATAGATAATAAATAAAAGAGCCAACTAAAAAAAAGTCTGTCTTTCAGGCTGTCAATGAACAGCCCTTAATTTAAAATTCTGCAAGTGAAAAATAGAGGACATTAGAAAAGTCATTTACAAAATTAGAAAAATACATTAGAAATAGATCAAGAAAACAGATTTTAAAGGAATTGATATTCTGTGTTTTAAAAGAATACCCATATGACAGTCTTACCCACCACAAGCCTGCAGTAACTCTACCCAACAGTAGAGTTACTGCAGGCTTGAAAAATAACTGTTTACTTTTCATTAAGAAAAGAACTAGATAAAAGCAGCCTAGCCTCTCTGATAAAGCAGTGATCTGGAGAAACAGGTGGTCTCATAGCCAAACTGGATGAAGAGGCTTCAACCAACTAATCCCTGAGAGGAAACAATTCCAAAGTTTTCTAGGAGGACAGGGTAAATGATGCAAAGCATTCTAGTGACTTCTGGAAGAGGGGAGCATCCAGTTCTTCCTGCCTGAGTCCCTCCCTCTTCATCTGGGACTCTTCCTCCCCAGCCACCCTTCTTTCCAATGCCCACCTCCTCCTGCCCCTCTCCTTCCCCTAATTTCCACCTCAGATTTCCAGTGGGTTCATTAGAAACAGTCCAACTTCATTCAAAATAATAATGTTGAAATCACTCACTTTTTTTTTCCTAATTAAATTTCTGCTGTAGTGAATTGCCTAATCTGATTTTTTTTTTTTTTTTAAAGACAGTCTTGCTCTGTCACCCAGGCTAGAGTGCGGTGGCGTGATCTCAGCTCACTGCAACCTCCACCCCCGGTTTCAAACAATTCTCCTGCCTCAGTCTCCTGACTAGCACGCCACCACGCTTGGCTAATTTTTGTATTTTCAGTAAAGACAGGGTTTCACCATCTTGGCCAGGCTGGTCTTGAACTCCTGACCTCATGATCCACTCACCTCAGCCTCCCAAAGTGCTGGGATTACAGGCGTGAGCCACCATGCCTGACCTGTTTTCTTTCAATCATCTCTTACCTGTTTCTTCTCACCTAAGGTTTATCAACCAGCCTCAGGAAAAAATTAAAGTGTTTATGGAATACCAGTTCAGTAATTAAAGGTCTCTATCCATAAGGTGAGTTTTGATTAGGTAGAAAAGTTTCCAAGAAAAAAAGGAAAAAAAAAAAAAAAGCATAGACCAAAGACAGCTTTAATAACCACGTTTCCTGAGAGGCTGTACAATTTCTGACTGTTCTATGGCTATTTCTTCTCAAGTACAAATGACATCATTGTTGAAATTTTTTGAAAACAGGCCTGCTTTATTCTACATTCGGTACCACATACCGTTTCAGTGGCCATCAATCGACTTTTCTGTTTTTACTGGGAAGGTACATCATGGTTATTTTTAGTAGACAGAGTCTGGTTCTATCATTGCTGATCACACATGGTCAGGCTTTAGAATTCTTTTTCTAAACCTATGAGAGTGTATTTGAAGGAGAGAATGTGCTCACTGTCAACATCCTACTGTTCTCTGAAACACTCTAGAGTCAATGTCTAGAACAGGAAACAGGTACCAACCAATGAAAGAATCTGGTGTATTACTAGGCAGCAAAGCAAGTGGAGCTTTGTAATACATAAATTCGCCCTTGAGATAGAAATATTTTTAACTATAATTGAGAGTGAGTTCACATCTGAGCTTCTCTGATAATTCTTGCTTTATCCTTTAAAAAAGGACCCAGGAATCAAAATCAAATAGCTGAATTTCCAGAGGATGTCGCCTGGCACATAAGCTGAGCTCAATTCTCATGAAATAATTTGTGCAAGTAATTTATAATTATAACAACTTACACAAACTAATTTATATAGGATTATTCTCTGTAAAAGTGAACAGAGGCTGGGCATGGTGGCTCACACTTGTGATCCTAGCACTCTGGGAGGCCAAGGCGGGTGGATCATGAGGTCAGGAGTTTGAGACCAGCCTGGCCAATATGGTAAAACCCTATCTCTACTAAAATACAAAAAAAAACTAGCTGGGCATGGTGGCTCACGCCTGTAGTCCCAGCTACTTGGGAAGTTGAGGCAGGAGAATCGCTTGAACCCAGAAGGCAGAGGTTGCAGTGAGCCAAGATCTCACCGCTACACTCCAGCCAGGGCAACAGAGCGAGACTCCATCTCAAAATAAAAGAAAAAAGTGAACAGAAAGGAGACACTTGAGATAAGACAAAGCCCATGACTTTTCTCTTTCAATCCTTTCCCCAAACACCAACCAAACCAATACAGGGACAGCAGAGAGCAGTGGCTGTAAACTTGTCTGCACATTAAAATCACTTGTGCATCTTCAACAATTCTACCCCCACAAGCCACACCCAGGCCAATGAAATCACAGTTGCTGAGTGTGAGATTCAGTCTCAGTAGTTTTGGAAGCGCCCAGACACCAGTAGAGAGTGGTGATTAAGGTAAGGACAGCTGAGGGGTTCAGTCATACACCTGACACTCATGCTCCAGGAGACCTGAGCCCTCCTCCATCCTCATCTGCCCCACTGTGAGTCACTCTGAGATCGTGGGGATAGGATTTACTAACACATTATACTCGTATGAGCACAGTATCATCATTCTTGTTCCTCACTCATAACTAATTTGTTAATGCAAATATTAAGAGGATGTTAACACAGTGAGTTATGGCCTTAGGTTTTCTCTTAAGTTACTCTCTCTTTAAACATTCACATCCCTTCTGCCTCTTAGAAGGCATCCCCTACAACTGGCTTGGCTTTGCTGTTTCTTTTGCAAGCATATTTCTCCTGCCTGGCAAACATTAAAAGTGGAGTCTGCCTTACCTCGACGATGCTTTTTAAATCTTGCACATAAGTCCTTTCGGTCTCCAGGATTTCCTGAACAACTCTATCCACATAGAGGAGCTTGGGGCTGGTGGCCGAGTCTGCAGTCGTCTTGGGCGCCCCATTTGAGTCCACTCTCCATGGTGCCCTGGGCTGCCTTTCGCTGCCCTCATCCGTGTTCTGTTGCCCTGTGGCAGGGTCGTCCCTCTGCAGCTCGCTGCTGGAAAATGGCCTGGCCGGAATCAGCTCCAGTTTTATGGCCCCTGCTTCCTTATCCTGGTTAAACAAGCCCAAATGGCTATTTGAAACTAAGGTCATTCTGCTGCCGAAGGAACTGTGGCTGTCCCGGGAAGAGGCCGAGGACGACGTGGAACCGAAGCTGACGGGTCGGTCGCTGTCAGAGAGCTCCATGGTCTTCAGTTCTTGGGGGCAGGAATGCCTGGCTGTCGTCTTGGGATTGGGAACTTTAGTTACAGCTGATGGCACTTCAAGACGCAACTGGTGCCCATCTATATGCATTAAAGAAAACAAATAAAAAGGACAAGCTAAGCAATTCTATCAAGCAGAGAGCTGAAAGGAAGTAAAAACCTAGTTCAAATAAATATAGTCAATAACAAAAAGGTGGCCAGTTATAGAAGGGAATACAAAGGTACCCGTGGTGGAGTGAGATGCGAAATCAGTGTTTCCGAAGCATTATCTGGGTGCCTGTTACTTATGCAGAGTCTCGGGCTCTGATCTGGACCTGCTGAGCTTGAATCTGCACTTTAATAAGATCCCAGAATGACTTACAAGCATGAAAGTTTGAGAAACTCTACATCTGTTGTCTCAAAAGTGTGACCACCTGGAATGACTCATATGCAAATTAGTCTAGATTCACTAAATTAAGGGCTCAGCTGTCAGAGCACCAGGAATCTATCACATTAACAAGCACCACAAGTGCTTCTTATGAACTTAAAAGTGACCCTATGTGTTTCCTACGGATTTTTGAAAAACCTTGTTCTAGATTTTAAGTATTTCACCATAATTCCACAATATTTCAGCCTAGCATCCCGGAGCCACCACCATTTGATTTAAATGATGCTGGCAACCTTACATTTTACTTGCATACAGCATTAAAGAAAGTGTCACATAGATAATAATTTTCTAATACTGGGCAAGGAAAAGATACAGTCATACACAGCAGAATGATGTTTTAGTCAACAATAAACTTCAGGCCAGGTGCAGTGGCTCATGCTTGTAATCCTAGCACTTCGGGAGTCTGGGGTAGGCAGATCACTTGAAGCCAGAGTTCAAGACCAGCCTGGTCAACATGGTAAAACTCTGTCCCTACTAATACAAAACTTAGCTGGGTACAGTGGTGCACGTCTGTAATCCAAGCTACTAGGGAGGCTGAGGTACGAGAATTGCTTGCACCTGAGAGGTGGAGGTTGCAGTGAGCTAAGATCGTGCCACTAAACTCCAGCCTGGGTGACAGAGTGACACTCTATCTCAAAACAGAACAACAAGCTGCATATATGACAGCTGTGAGAGCAATCTGCCGTACCGTATGGCCTAGGTGTGTAAAGGTCTATGCCATATCGGTTTGTGAAAGATACTCTGTGATGTGCATACAATGACAAAGTTGCCCTATCACACATCTCAGAATGTCCCTCCATGCTTAAGTGATGCATGACTGTATGAAGACCTACACCCCACTGAAAACTTACCCTCTCACCACAGCACTTTTTCTAGATCACTTCTTAAAAACTGGCGTTTCATTTGTGGCATACATGAAGTTATACTATTAGAGAGTATGTCTGACTAACTGCAACACTCTACAAGTGCAGTTATAAAATCATATAATATGATGAATAGAGGAACTAAATGATGAGAACAATTATGATAAAATGGAGCTGTCTCGTTTAGAGGACGGCAAGAGGAAAAACTATCCGCAAAGTCAAAAGATCACTTAATACCCACAGCATTTAAATATCATGTTGGGCCCCAAAAGGACCCACATGAAAACTAAATATTCAGAAGCTATTTGGGTAAAACACTCAAAACGCCAATCTTTCTCATTTGTAAGGCAGGGGTCAACATCACCCCCCCCCCGAGTGCCCCGCCACCAATAATGAGATTCCACATCTAAATATGTCACTAACAAAGACATCTGCTTCATTTTGCTAGGTTACCTTACCACAGAAACATGTTTACAGGTTTCATGAGAAAAACAGTAGAGGGAAGCTTATGTCTGGAAGGTTATAATGTGACAAACAGTAAAAAGAATACATAGTAACGATCATTTCTCAATAGTAACGTAAATTTGGTTTAATTCTATCATAAAGATCATTAGACACTTGGTACTAATATTTTTAGAATACAAAGAATCCATCAAGCCTGTTCTTCAACATACTTTTTCTAGATAATTTATATTTATGACAAATATTAGTACCAACTTATGGTGCAAATATTAAAGTTATGAAGATAAAATGAAGGAACTAATTCCGAGTCAAGAAGGAATGGTAAGACGTGTGGGAAATGAGCAGTTTATCTGCATAACCATGACCACATGCTAGAGTTTGCTGCAAATTTTTAAATCCAAGCAGCAGTCATGCATTTAGGTACGCTTACAGTAAGGATGCTTGCTCACGTTTGGGACTGGTGTTGAGAAAGTCATGGGCAGTCCAGAGTAGGAGCAGACACAACAGAGTTTTCTTTCCATTCGCAGCCACCATAACCATGACCATCAGGCTGATCTCACTGTAGGAAATGGGCACTCACTTGGGAAGTATCTAAGGATACTTTGAGATCCTGAGGGTCCAATGAGGCTAGGATATGGGATTAAACATAAGTTGGATGTACTCTATAACAGGGCTGTGGTACCACTGGTCCATGGCCTGTCAGGAACCAGGCAGCACAGCACGACGTGAACAGTGGGCAAGCTAGCATTATTGCCTCAGCTCAGCCTCCTGTCAGATCTGCAGCAGCAGATTCCCAAAGGAGTGTGAGCCCTACTGTGACCTATGCATGCCAGGGATCTAGGTTGCCCGTTCCTCATGAGAATCTAATTTCTGATGATCTGAGGTGGAACCATTTCATCCTGAAACCATCCCCACTCCCCACCGCCACCATCTCAATCCACCCTTTGAAAAACTGTCTTCCAGAAAATCAGTCCCTAGTGTCAAAAAAGTTGAAAGGCCAAGACATCTGGAAGGGTCTACCCCCCATAGATCTGGACACACTGTCTCCAGGGCAAATTCTGATTTTCTAACTGGACAAGAATCAATCTCTCCAGAACAGAAAACTGTCACACAGTTACAAAACTCTTGGCACTCACTACATTCATGATCGGGACTAGTGACAAATGGACACAACAGAGACATTATTTTCTTATCATCACTTCTTTTCTCTACTTACTTTTGCTCCAAGTTATATAACCAATATTGGGATAGAATGATTAAAGAGGAAACAAAATTGCTTTTAGAAAAGTCTAGGTTGGGTTGCTAGAAATGACAGTGTCTTTAGAAATACTTTCAAAGGCTGGAAGTGATGGCTCATGCCTGTAATCCCAGCACTTTGGGAGGCTAAGGTGGGTGGATCACAAGGTCAAGAGTTCAAGACCAGCTTGGCCAATGGTGAAACCCTGTCTCTACTAAAAAAATATAAAAATTAGCTGGGTGAGGTGGCAGGCACCTGTAATTCCAGCTACTCAGGAGGCTGATGCAGGAAAATGGCTTGAATCTGGGGAGGTGGAAGTTGAAGTGAGCTGAGATCACACCGCTGCACTCCAGCCTGGGCAACAGAGTGAGACTTTGTCTCAAAAAAAAAAATTCCAAAGGTAGGAAAGAGTGGGACATAAAACTCAGATCAATAGGGAACCCCTTCATGAATAGATCTTAAATAGCAACATGGATTGGGCACTGCCGCAGGGAAGGCTTCATATGTTCCAGTGCCAGTCCACATACAGTTGGCTGCCAACCAGACACTTTCTAAAATAGACAGTTTCAGAATTTGGTGTCCACAGTATCTAGCCAAGCTTACCATCCCAAACTAAAGATCTCCCAAAATTACCAACGACAGGAGTGAAACATTTAAAGTCAGGTCATATAATGGCATGTAATATGAGACCACACTTGCTAATGGATAACGTTTTTTACGTTGAATCATTGCCTAGAAGATAATTATAGTTTCCTCACGTAAGAAAATATACCTCATAAAAACCGTCTAGTCTTGTTCTCACTTTCCTCAAAATAATTTTAAGATTTCCACCCTGTCTGGCCTATTCTAATACAACTCACCAATTATTAATATTTATCTCTAGAGCATTGTTACTCCATATAGTAGCCAGGGCCACATGTGGCTACTGAGAACTTGAAACGCAGTCAGGCTGGGTGTGGTGGCTCATGCCTATAATCCCAGCACTTGGGGAGGCTGAGGCAGGTGGATCACTTGAGCTCAGGAGTTTGAGACTGGCCTGGGCAACCTAGTAAAACCCCATCTTAAATACAAAAAAATACAAAAATCTAGCTAGGTGTGGTGGCATGTGCCTCCAGTCCCAGCTACTTGGAGTCAAGGCTGCAGTAAGCCTTGATCGTGCCACTGCACTCCAGCCTGGGTGGCCAAGTGGGACTCTGACTCAAACAGAATAAACATAGTCAGTCTGAACTGAGATGTTAGATGTACACCGGATTTCAGTGACTTAGTATGAAACTAGATACATGAAATAAAATACCTCGTTAATAATTTTTATATAGTGTACTGAAATAATATTTGGGAGTAGGTTAAATAAAATATCTCATTGAAATTATTTTCACTGGTTTCATTTTACTTTTTTTAGTTTAAATTTATTTTTATTTTTGAGACAGGGTCTCACTCTGTCACCCAGGCTGGAGTGCGGTGGCGCAATCATGGCTCACTCCTGGGTTCAAGCCATCCTCCCACCTCAGCCTCCTTAGTGGCTGGGACCATGCCACAACACCAGGCTAATTTTATTTTTAATTTTTGTAGAGATGAAGTCTTGCTATGTTGCCTAGGCTGGCCTTGAATTCTTGGGCTTAAGTGATCCTTCCATCTTGGCCTCCCAAAGTGCTGAGATTATAGGCATGAGTCACTGCCCCTGGCCTCATTTTACTTTTTAAAATGTGGCTACTAGAAAATCAAAAATTACATAAGTGGTTCACATATATTTTAGTCAGACAATGCTGATCAAGAAATCTTCCAGATAATTACATTATTCCTGAAGATTTAAATTTACATCCTTATTCTTTGTTCAAAAATAGTGAATGGAGAGATATATACAACTCAAAGTTTGCATTTTTGTTTTTTACACCACTTATTAATGCACAATATTGTTTAAAATTAGCAAAAACACAGTTGGGAGGCCATCGCCGTGTAGCAGATATTGGGCTAACTGATTTTCCATAACAAGTGGAAACATCCAGATTAAAAACTAGAGAGCAAGAAAGCTTTTTCCTTTGCCTTGGGTGAAAGATGTTAGCAGGCTGTATTAACATTTGGGTAATTTGCTGCT